TATGAGAGAGTTTCCCATCATACTTGCCACATAAAACATGGAGGAGAACACAAAGAAGACAAGTTGGATCTCCCAGGTATTGGAAAGTCCCAGGAGCACAAATTCTGACACCACAGAGTGATTTGCTCTATCCATTTATTTATCATCTACAGAGCTCTATAGCTATCAGATAAAAGAAAATAAAGAGGAAACACAAGTAAGAATGTCATTAATACCCTAGAATTTGAGTGGTTAATTATATAAGTACAGTCACACAGTGCAAACTTTGTATCTCTGCAATTTCTTCTCAAGGTCATAAAATCACTAAAAAGATACTTTGCCTGTAGTCACCTATAGCAATTAAGTCCCTATCACCATGACCTGCTGGTTAAAGAATTGTTGTTGTTGTTGTTTTGTGCCGTGGAGTTGGTTCCGACTCATAGTGACCCTGTACAGGGTTTCCGAGGCTATAGATCTTTATGGGAGCAGAAAGCCTCATCTTTCTCCCGTGGAACAGCTGGTAGTTTGGAACTGCTGACCTTGCGATACGCAGCCTGATTTGTAACCACTACGAAAAACTGAAAACATAGAGGTTGTGAATGACAAGGCTTGGGAGGGGTGATACAATGACACAGTAATAATAATAAAAGAAATAGAGATGACCTCATTTCACAGAATTGATTTTGAATTGCTTATGAAATATTTTCAGCCATTCTAGTTGTTTCTCCTCTTAACCTCCTTTAATCTTAAGCATGTGTGTGTTTGAGGTATTTTCATACCTGGTGTGGCATAGAGGTGGCTCATAAATATGATAAAACTAAGGCAATGGTTGACTAGTGATTGAGGTCACAGAGTATCTGCATATCCACCCAGATATGTAAATGGAGTAGCTAATAGAATGGTTAACAGGCAAAATAGCACCAAGGTGTGAAAGTTGTAGGAAGACAAGAAGTCAAGGAAAATCAATTTGAATTATTTGCTCAGATTATCCACAATCCCAAAATTAAATAATAAATAAGGAAGACCATAGAAGAATTGAAGCATTTGAGTTTCAGAGTAGAAGAATATTGAAAGTACCATGGATTGCCAGAAGAACAAACAGGTCTGTGTTGGAAGAGGTACAGCCAGAATGCTCCTTGGAGGTAAGGATAGTGAGACTCCATCTCTCATACTTCAGACATTATTCGGAGGGACCAGTCCCTGGAGAAGAACAGGGTAAAGTGCTTGGTAAAGTGGAGGGTCAGCAAAAAATAGAAGACCACCAAAGAGACACCGTGGCAGCAGCAATGGGCTCAAGCATAACAATTGTGTGGATGGTACAGGACTGGGCATTGCTTCCTTCATTCTGTTGTGTAGAGTGTTGCCAGTCAGAACCAACTCAATGGCACCAAGTAACAACAACAAAGTAAGTGAACCAAGACCACAACCACTGGAACCCCAAACTCTTATAATTTTGGGGGGATAAAGAAATGCACCTGAACCTCATAGTGAACACACAGTCATCAAGTCTCTCAAGAACCCACATATCCCTTCCGATTAGCCCTCTTATCTCATCTCTGTTTCAAACATCTCCAGTGTCTGACTGTTTCCTGACCCTAATTCTAGCTACAAAATATAATCTCCTGCCTGTTGATGAAACACTCCTGCTTATGCTATATTTGGACACGCTGCTTGAAGATGAGGTGAGTTAAGAAAAGAGGGAGGTTGAAGCAAAAACAGTTATGGTCTGATAAAATAAAAATACACGTGTGTATAGAAGCTTCAAACCGACTCGACGGCACTTAACAACAACAACAACAACATAGAAGCTTTAGACCTTGAAAGGAAAAGGCAAGAGAAACAATTAAATTTT